AGGGATGGTGACTCACCCAACTCCCTGGGCAGCCTATTACAGTGTCTAACCACTATGTCTGTGAAGAAATTTTTCCTTATGTCCAGTCTAAACCTCCCCTGTTGCATCTTGAAGCCCTTCCCTCTTGTTCTGTCACTGATTACCTGTGAGAAGAGCACCAACCTCTGTACAGTGACCTTTCAGGCAGTTGTAGAGATTGATGAAGTCTCCCCTCGGCCTCCTCTCCCTCAAACTAAATATTCCCAGCTCCTTCAAGTGTTCTTCATAACATTTATTCTCTAGGCCCTTCACCAGCTTCGTTGCCCTCCTCTATACTCGCTCCAGTACACATACAGTGGGAGAGAATGCTCAAAAAATGTGTAGTGGTAGCTGTATGTATCAAAAATATATGGAGACTACCAATCTACAAGGATGTCAAGGGGAATTTGGCAATAGTGAGAATTTCATCAGCTTTTCTCTATAGTTGGGCAATTTACTGGTAGAACTGACTCCTGACCTGTGGCAATTTTTCGACAAGTCATGTTATGTGTTTTTTTGTTCATGTTTTGGTGGTTTTCTGAGGATGTTTGAGTGCTGACATATAGCAGAAGCTTTGCAAGCTATCCTACTCTCCTTTAAAAACCTTGATTTGAATATTTGCTTGCTTAGTAAACATGAGCAACTTTAGTACCTGAAACATCAGGGGACTTGACCAAGAAAAGTACCTCAGCCTGGAGAAAGTCAGGGAGGTGGCAGTGGAGCCCACTTAGTGGAGTAATCTGAGCACAGGAGCTGTGAAAGCTAGTGCCAATCACAGAAGCTTCTGGCCTTCTGAATTGAAGGAGGACTACCTCACTTTGGGAGTTGCCAAGTTGCTGCTTTTAGCAGACAGTTTTCAGGGTTAAGCATTCACAGATAGGGGTAGAGATATCAAAGCTTATGTCACTGTTTGCCTAAAGATTATTAGTAAGTTTAGAATACACATGCGTATGCAATTACTAGTGAAAGAAAACCCCAGCCTTTTGGCACTTGTAACGTTGTGGCAAAGGTCTGGAGAACTTAGGGTATTCTTGAGAATTTTTACTGAAGTCAGAAAACCTCTATACTTGAAGTCTGTCACAACTGCTGCCTTCTGGCTTTTTTTTAGAGGGTTATAAGGAATACATGAGTAAATGTTTGCTAGCCACATAACTATCAGAATTGATAACTTCTCTTTCACAGGATAAATTTCTGTTTAACAAGACTAATTCTTTCTTTTAAAATTATGATGTAAGGTTAGAGTTTTGTAACACATTCCATGTGATACTTTACTTACACATACTGTAAGTATTTACATTGTGTAAATAGTAATAGTTTCTAAATTACAGAATTACAGCTTGCCTCTCCCAGGCTTCTGAACACCAGCTCACTGCTGTACACTTTCCAGCACCTGGTGAAGGATTTTAGGGTTTTGGTGTGGGTTTTTTTGGTGGCTGTTGGGATTTTTGTTGTTTTTTTGTAGGACTTTTTGTCATCTTGTGGTTCTGTGCTTCTTTAGCTTTTCTTTTTACAGACAGACACCTCTTGTGCAAGCAGAGCACTTTTTGGGTCCTGTTTGTGTTAACCTGCTACAGCTTTTCACACTTTTTTTAATGGCAGGAGGTGGCCTTGTCCTATTGAGTTTGTCTCTCTAGTTCTGCAGTACACTGGCTGTTTGCCTGTGGTCTGCTGAGTTGCAAATTTACCTGATAGAAGCTCTTCTCTCATGTCGGTTTACTTCAGCCTATTACTTTAGGTTAGGGGATTGTAAATGTTGTAGATCTTATATTACAAAGTCTTCTGAAGGTGGAATTACCATTGCATATCTGTTAAAGAAATCTTATTTTCCCAATAGTACCTTTCTGAATAAGACACTCCCTACCCCTGTCTCTGTCCTGCCCCCATGTGATTACCTGCTTGTAATACTGCTTTGTTTTATTTTTCAGTGACAGGACTGTGAGGATCTGGAAAGCTCGAAATGTGATAGATGGACAGATCTCAGATACAGGAGATGCAAGTGAAGATCTTGCTAGTAATTGAAATTATGGGGATAAATAAATATATTGATGAATTTGGGGTGCACTCTGCAGTTTGCTGCATGCTCATTAGATAGACACTGATGACTGGAATGAACTGACTAGTAAGAGTGAACTCTTCTACTAGACCTGCTGTCCTTAAAAGATGTACTGTATTTAAGAAAAAAATAACTTCTTGGTGACATGCTTGTGTCTCAGTGGTCACATATATGTCTATATATTATGGCTGAATTTGTGTGCATATGTAACACTTGCAGTTTAAATTAACTGGAAATCAGTCTTCTCTAATGACCATCTCAAAATTATAATCTGGAATATATAACAAAAGTGCTCTCCTGTATTTCACTCACAAGTATGATCAGCTGTTTTGCATTTTAGAGTAGCAGGGGAATGATGATGACCCAGTAATAAGCCTTTGATTGCAACGTGCAGTTTCAAGATTTTAAAGGTGTTTTTAAAGGTGTTACTCTGTTTTTAGGAAAGTGGAGTGAATCAAAGGTGGTAAGAAGCTATTGTTGCCACATCTATCTCACGTGGCTGTATCCTGCTAACAGCGAATGCCATATGATTTGTGTTAATGTGAGCATATAATCCTTGTTGACCAAAGTTGTGCAGCTATGTATGCTCTGTGCTCAGGACTAGAACTCAAATGCTCATAAATCGGTACATTTTATTAGTGTTTTGCCTATATTCTGTAATGACTAGATGTTCTCAATGTCATGACAGAAATATATCCTAATCTATTTTTCTTATGGATTTGTTTCTATCATCTCACACTTTCTTTTTTAAAGCAAAATTTCTTTCCTTTTTATCTAATTTTATATGCTGCTAAATGTATTTTAAATACACTGTTTTGCAAACTTTGGCAGTTACTTTGAGAAACTGAACCACATGTATTGGAAAAAGCTGTGTAAATAGATGGTTGTACAAAGCAAATATCTTATCTTGTGCCTGTATGACTTTTAAAGCTCTTAGAGTGTGGATATGGAGGGAGGATGTATAATTTACCCAACTGCTCTGACTATTAATTTGTAAATTCTGCAAATTTTTAAAATTTGTGTAGATTCAGGTACAGTGTTGGATATTAAGGTTTTTTTGGTTGTTTGCTGCTTTGGTTCTCCCCCCGGCCCCCCCTAGACCCCTGCCCCC